GACTTCAAATATTTGAAATCAGTTTATGGGAGCTTTTTAATTTTTTAAAAATTTCTTGCTGCCACATATGGTAAGAAGTCACAGTAAGTTGCTTAATGACATTACAGTATTTGCTTCCTGTTGGAAACTCACATAAGATACTGAAATTGTTCCTGCGCTTGGTAACTATTACTCTCTCCCAGGCTACAGAAAAGAGGATGTAATTGTTAATATTATACACCCAGTCTTTTCTGTGCTGCAACGATGTAGTAATTTGTTTTCTTTGTTTCCACTGCCTTTGTGTATATGTTATTATATAAAAGTTAAAATTTTCTCCCAATCTATTAGCAGTTAAAATGTTCCTTAATTTATTAAATATGCCTTCATTCATAGTTTGTTTTTTTAGGTTATTCTTAATGCATTACACAATTAACTAATGACTTTGTTTATTTTTATGACAGTATTTAAAATATGTAGTTATTGCCATTTATATTGTGGAGCTTGCAGAATTACCAATTGTATAATACAAACTAAACCTTTAAATTAGCTTGGTGTGAGGACTCTTTAATGCTTTAAATAGGGGAAGGGGTTTGTAGTTGAAGATTTACTACTTCAGTTTCCCTTATGAAGATGTAGCAAATTAGGCTGTTTCTGTCTTCAGTTACCTCTTTAGTCATTTATTTGTGCTAGTATGTGTCCATAGCTTTTTTTTTTTTTTTTGTATTTCTGCCTTTCGTAGATGAAGCAGTATATTTAGCATTTTCAATAGTTTTTATTTTTTTAATTTTCTGAATTAAAATAATCATAGAATCCTGGCTTCTTGAATTCTATGTATCATTTCTAATGCCTCATTTTATATTAAAAGTCTCTTAGTTTGTCACTTAACTGACATTTCTCCATCGCTATCGCTATTAGTTAAGAACATCTGTTTTCATTTGTCTCAATTTTTTGCTGCTTTACACTCAGAACCTTTTGTCTGTTTTGTGTTACTGGCCATGAGAAATGCTGAAGACAGTCTCTCTTAATTTTTGAGACTATCTACCCCCTCCAGGAAGGTCTTGTGAACACTCAAATACTAGAGTGTTATTAATTAGTGAAAGACCTGAAAGGACTACTGAAGGTAAAAGGCCTCAATCTAGAAGTCTATAATGGATGTTGAAGCACAAGCAATAGGCCCTACTTTTTCATTTGTGAATTGCCACTTAACCACTTTGGAATGAGCGTCCACTATAGTCAATAGCCACAGATAAACATGCACAGCCAAGCGTCGACTTTAACCGACAGCTGTGATACGACTTTTCTAATTTTTCATTTATTAAAATAAAATTGTGAACATTTAAAAATAATGTAATAAAAACATGTTACCTATTCCGATTTACATTACAAGTAAAGCAGCCAGTAAAGTAAAACAAGCTTTCAGTGCTTTAAAAGCTTTCCTCATCACACGAGCAAAACGGATTTGTCATCAATGCACAGCACAAACTATCATGCAGACTGTGAGTGCTGGCTGTGGGCAAGGTTTTGCGGCCGGTGAGCTGTATTATTTGTAATGTTTTTTGTTTTATTTACTCTGGTGGTGGTTTTTAAACATCTAGTTGTCCAATGGTGGAGGAGCTAATGGTGTAGTAATCTAGAAATTTGCATTTGCTGGTATATTGCACGATACATCTTGTAGCAGATTTGCCATTGTTTAAGAGAGTTTATTGCCTATTACATATTTTGTGTATTTTACTGATTTGGTACTGGGAAACAATAGAGAGGGGCGGTGCAAAGGAGTATAAATTTAAGGTGTTTTGTGTTTTAGTACTCTTACCCCACAAAGTATTTCTTTGGAACTTTGGTTTTACAAAGTAATACAAATCAGAATGCTTGTTTTTACATCTTTTTATGTGCCCTGCAAATCTGGTATTTTTATACCTAAATCATTCTTGGGTTTATGAACTATATAAACACTTCGTTGGAACTCATACTTAATGATTGCTCTTTTCCTGAGCCTCCAATAGTTGATGAGAGTATGTTGGACAGTTGTATATTTTAAACCTTTTTAAAAAATCTATGATGTTAAAGAGTAATATCTTCAGTGATCCAGCAGTTTCACTATTGCTCGGAGTGTGTGTTTCTAACACTGTCAGTTTATTTTCAAAGGTTGGCACGACTGTTAAATTACCAAACCTGTATTAGGATTAGAATAAAATGCGTTTGTTTACTATATACATTTGGATGATTGTTTTATTATTTTCTAGGCTTTCACTAAGGAATTAAAAGAGGAATTGCAGGTGGTTTTAAGTGCTGTTGAACCTCCTAATTGTCAAGTGGTATAATGGGAGGGCAAAAAATGGTTTTATAGACCCAGGAGATCTATTACCTCCTTAGGACTATCAGTATTTTTTCTTATAAGATTAAAAACATTTAACTTTTTTTTTTTACGTTTAAATTTTTAATATTCACATATAGGACATCTCTATCAAATCAGTCCGTAAAGGGGATATCTTGTTCAGAGAGGTTAAAGTATTAGAATGAGTGACACAATCAAAATAGTGCACAGCTAGCTGTTACCTGCTCCTTTGTTTCCACCAACTATGTAATCCAGTTTGGAATGATGAGTGGAGTTTGGTCCTCAAACACCTGGTTTGTAAATAAGGAAATGAGCTTTCATGCCAGTTGCCCAAGCTCTTTGCAGCCATTCCTATATTATTTCCATGTGTGCTGTTTTTGCATTAATGCTGAAAAGGAAATGATAGGTTGAGTTAGGGATTTAAATAACTGCAAGTTGGAAATAGAGGACTTTGCTTCCATAAGGAATATGTTGTTATAGTTTAGAAAGTATGAGTTGTCACTAAACTTCCCAAAGGGGGATTCTCTTGACCAAGAGCCTGATGTAGTAGTTTTGCTGCCAAACAAATAAGTAGGTTGTAATATAAAATGTTTCAGTGTGTAATCTGAATTTTCAAAGCAGGTAGATGGAGGAGGAGTGTATGGCAAAGTTGATTTTAAGAGAAAAGGTTTTGTTTTATTCAGAAAGATCTTCCCTTTAGGGATACATTGGGCAAATGTGATTTGCTGAAAAGTTCTAAAAACTTCAGTGATGTGTATAAAATAAATAGCATACAATGCCAGAGAACAAAGTATATGATTTCAGGAGAAGCTTATAGCTACATAGAAAGTTCATTCATTGCTTGGACAACACTTATATCACATCAAACTCAGAGATTTTTCTGTAATGTTACATTTAAATTAAAAAAATTTTTTTGCGGAAGTTATATGTCTTTTGAAATGTGTCTTAGAATCGATGGAATACTGTATAAGAATTATATAAGAAACAAATCGGGTCTAAAGACCAAAACATGCCTAGGAATTCAAAGGGGCCAGGGACACGACTATTTAATAAGGTACACTTTTTGGGGGGAGATGGCACTTTTTAAAGCTGTAATCATCCAACTTCAATATTTGGCACCTAATTCTACATTTATTCAACTTCATGCTGTGTTTCCTTGAAAATAAGACAGGGTCTTATATTTATTTTTCCTCAAGAAGACACTCTAGGGCTTATTTTCAGGGGATGTGTTATTTTCCCCTTAAAGCCTCAGCTTGCAGCACACAGAGGATGGCTGGGACCTGACAAGGGGAGCCGACTTTGTTGATGGGGCTGCCCCCACCTTTCCAAGTCACCTCTGGGATAGTAGCTGTCACCATGGGACAGATGAGAAGGGCTGCTCCTCTTTACCGGTCTGCGACAAAATGCATGGGTTGTGCAGATTCGCTGTGTAGCCACGCCCATCACTAGGTCTTATTTTCAGGGTAGGAATTACATACTTTCAAAAATAACCAAGTTTTTCCAAGAATTTAATTGTAAAATGAAGTCCAAATACAAAGACGTATTAAATTGATATGATTGGTTCTTGGTTTGTTGTCCCTTTGAATTTTTACTTTGTGCATGCCAATTTGACTGACTTTTGGCATGTGTATACAATAGTAGATACAAGTGGCTTGAGTTGGTGTTTTTATTTAACAAAATTACTATCTAAATGGGATAGTAGAACATTGATACATCGAAATTGTTTGCTGTTGCTGATGGTTTTCACATAGTCTACATCACATTTATACATAAAGTAAGTTGTATATTCCCACACTTTAAAGTTATGCCATAGAAATCTTTGTGTTGGATTTTTTTTTGGTTGTTATATATACATTGTTTTTAAAAGGGAATTATTTTTAAATGTATACTTACAGTTTTTCCAAAGTGAACTGCTTTGGATATGATAATATCTGATTCACTGGAAATGTTATTTTTGGAAGCTGGGTTATTTTCAGACAATGCAAATTTCCTGTATTTCCTGTAGTTTACTTGGAGAAGAGGATGTAGTGAGCTAAGAGGTCACAACTTAAGTTTCACAATGTAAGTTTGCTAAACACGGAAGGTGCTGAGATATACTTAGTGTTTGTTCTTTTAAGCAAACTTCATATTCGATTTCAATGAATTCCTTCAGTGATTTCTTTAGGCATATTAAAAAACAGTCCTTTTTTATCCTTGTAAAGTTATAAGTCATAGTGCATGTCCCTTTTTTTAGTGTTTCCTGGGAATCTTAAGTTTAAATCACTATGCCCTATTTGAGCCTTTTTTAAAAAAATTCAAGTTTAAGGCTTAATTAAAACTATTAATAGTAGTTACAAAAAATAAAGTTTTCTGCTCTCTTAAAGATCCATTTGGAGGCGTGTATTCAGTACTTGGAATGCTTTCATGTTTTCTGCCTTAAACGAGTCTTTACAAAATTTTCACACACTAGTTGATAAATAAGTTAACTTACGATGTGTTAAAAAAAATACACCCTAAGAAATCTTTAGAAATTTTTGTGAAGAAAAGTGAAAGAAAAAATAACAAGTATCTAAACTAAGTGTTTTGCCATATACATTTTGTCTCTTTAATTTAGTGGATAATTTGGTTAAAAAATATAATTTGTAGGAACACCATTGTGTTTGAAACAACAATTCTGGTGTAGACAGCATTAAAGGAACAAAACATGTAGGCATACAACATTTTATTGTTTATTTTTGAAACTGTGAATTGTACATTTGTACTCTGCCTTATTTCTACCATGTTCTCGCTGCTGTAGGGCGTTTTGAAAGACTTTCTGACTTGATTAGATTCTGCTGGATATTGGATCCGGGTGGGTAGATGCAGAGAAGTGAAGCTGGTCGCTGGTGGGCGCTGTGGGTCCGTGGAAGTCATTGATGTGGCTGCCGGAGCTCGTCAAAGCTTCTCTTTGGACAAGCACTTAACTGGAAAAGTAAGGAATCCCTGCCACCTCTGCATTTGGGTCTTTAGACACTGAATAAGACGCACATTGACTTCTACATCACACCCGGATATATGTGCCCGCCACCCCCTAAATTCCTGGTCACCTTGGGAAGGTGAGTGTCTCCAGGAGGCCAATTAATAAAGTCCCCGCGCGCGCGCCGGCGACGTTTGCAGGGAAGGCTAGGGAGGTGCTGCCTTCCCAGGAAGTGAGGAGCGGAAGAGCCGCCCGAGAAGAAAGTGTGGAGAGAGTGCAGGGCGAAGACGTTCACGCCCTAATTATCAGCTGCAAATTCCGGCGCCGCGTCCGCTGGAGTCGTTTTGCATTTCCCAGCCCTACTGACTTAAATCGGGCCCGAGTTGATTCTCCGGTACCAAAATTAAGTGAGAAGCCTTCGCTAAGAGGCTTCGTGAGAAACAGCCAAGGGAGCCGGGGACTCGATGGGCGCGTGTACGGTGTGTAAGTTAGTCCTACAAAGAGGGAAACATTTCGTTTTAAGAAGGAAAAGGCCAAAGGGAACCCACTGCTTGGACTCCGCACAAGTCTGGATTGTCCGTTGAAGTTGGGACACTTGCTGGGCAACCGAGGCGCTCCGAGCGCGGAGACACGGCGGGCGCGGGGACAGGTGGCCCGTCGTGGTCGCCCACTCCACACTTGCCCGTCCCTATTCCAACGTCTCCACAGCGTCCGCGAGGCCTCCCGCCGCCGCACCGGGGCCCGTGCGCTCGGGGGTCACTTCTCCCTCCCCGGCGGCGGCTCGGCGGCGCGGCGCTCCGAGCCGGGGGCGGGGCTCACCTGTCAGCCTGAGCCCCGCCTCGCGGCGCCCGGGCCGGGCGGGGGCGGCAGACGGACGGGCGAGCTGCCCAACCAGCGCGCGGCTGCCGCGCGGCGGGCCAATGGGCTTCGCGTTTCGGGGCGGGGCCCCGCGTTTATAGCGCTCTGACAGCGCGCTGGCCGCGCGGACTCTTCTCGGCGGGGACGGCGGCGCCGGCCGGAGCGGAGAGCTGCGCGCAGAGTCGGTCCCGGCGCCCTCCCCGCACACAAAGGCCAGCGCGCGTCCGGCGCCCGCGGCGGGGACCGAGCTGCCTCCTGCTTGCTCCGTGAGCCGGGAGCCGCGAGGACTGAGGCTCCTGCGCGCCCGGAGGCGCCTTCTCCGCTCCGCGTTCCGGGACATGGAACCGCGCCGACGCGGCGCCCGCGCGCTCGGGCCGCTGCCCGCTGCACTGGATCTATAGTCGAGGCGGCCCCGCTCGGGGCACAGCGCCCGCCGCCCCGCGCCGAGTCGTCTCTCCGCTTCGGGCCTTTGTGTCCCGGCCCCGCTCCCTCCCTGCCGCCCCGCGCCCGCCCGCCTGCCCGCCCGCCGCGGCTGGCCTGGCACCCTGGAGCCGCACGGGAGCCGGCCGTCCGAGCTGCGTCCGGCGCGGCGCCCCGGAGCCCCGAGTCCGCCGCGCCGCCGCGCCCCGCGCATGCAGCCCCACTCCGCACCCTGAGGGCCCGCGAGGGCGAGCGCACCTGGCCTCCGCGACCGCTGGAGCTGCTCGGCGCGCCCCGAAGCTGTCTGCGGGCGCCTGCAGCCTTGCCCCCTCGTCTGCCCCGGAGGATTGCGGCTCCCGGCCCGCGTCCTGTCCCTCCGCGGCCCGGAGTGCGCGGAGCTGGGAGTGGCTCAGCCATGGCCGTGAGGAGGGACTCCGTGTGGAAGTACTGCTGGGGAGTTTTGATGGTTTTGTGCAGAACTGCGATTTCCAGATCGATAGTTTTAGAGCCTATCTATTGGAATTCCTCGAACTCCAAGTAAGTGGCGTCCGCGGTTTCTCTAGGTCCTCGCCCCGGGGTCCGCCGTGCCGTCCTGGCGGGAGGAGGGGTCAGTCCACGGAACCTTGGAGCCTCTTTCTGGAGCCTCGGTCCCCTGTCCCCCTCCCCTGCCACATTTCACTAGATGGAGACTCCTCGCTCTGTTTTCCAGCCCGCGCGTCGGCTCGAAGGGGCGGTTTCCCCGCCTTTCCTCCCCCAGCGCTGCCCCGCGCTAAAAGCCCCTGGCGGCTCGGGTGTCACGTCCGGGAAGGTGTCCGATGGCGATACCTGACCCTCTGTTGTTTTCGAGGGCGGAGGACAAGGCCAGAAGCTGGGCTGGCCGGCGCGCGGGGACCGGCGGGCTCTGGAGAGAGGTGGAGATGCTGCGCTCGCGAGGAGCACAGGCGGCGCGGTCCGGGGCCCCGCGGGCGGGCTGGCGGGCGGGCGGCGGGCGCGGCGGGCCTGGGGCCGTGGAGCGCACCCGCGCAGACGAAGCCGTGGGTCGCTGCGCCGCCCGCAGCACCGCGTTCCCGGCGCGCCTCGGCTCCGTGCGGCCAACCCCAGGGTGCGCGGGGAGCTCTCCTGCTCCGCAGAACTCGGGCGCCGAGCCCTCTCCTCCTCGCCCGGGGACGGGCCTTGGGCTTCCCCGGAAGGGCCCTCTGCACATCGGCTTCTCTCTTCGTTTACACACCGAAGGCCCCAACTCCGTGCAGTCTCCATCGCCGGCCTTAGTTTTAGGCTACCTTGCGCGAAAGCTTAGGGCCCTGCCCAGCCGACGCCGCTCCTGAAGTCTTTGCCCTTGGGGCCCCGGGGTAGGAACGGGAGCCTGTGGACCAGACATGCTTTTATCCAACGGTACGGGTGGGAGAGCCAGGCCTTGTGAAGAGTAACTTTCATCTGTGCTACCGCAGTACACTCGGAATTCAGAAAATCCATCCTAAATATATGTGGCCGTGACTCGTAGTCATGGGGGCATTCAGTATTGCATATCATACCATTTAGAATCACAGCCAAAAAATATTTTACAGAATCATGGAATTTTGCTCTTGGAAAACGTGGGGGGAAAGCGTGGAGTTATTAGCTTCTGGGGTAAACGTTTGAGACCAGAAGTAGTATCGGTGGCCTAATGGAAGTTGATCAAGTTGGGCATGGATTTAGGGGTAAAGAGATGGAGATCGATTTAGAAATCACGTCTTCATTAAAGAATTTTATGCACTCTGTGGGATGTGGTGCATTTCAAATTCACCAACACGTTAACCAAGAATTCTTTCACTGAAAGAGCAAAATCGTCCCAGTTATAAATCGGCTTGAAGAAATTCTTGCACGATGCTAGAAGGCACTTAAGGCACTTTCAAACACGGCTCAGATTTAAAAGTTACTTACTAATGCCGCCTCCTTGCATGCAGTCTGATCTGGTGTGGATTATATTTTTAGTGTAAGATTGTATTTGCCGATCAGGTCCTGGCGGTCGCATCTCTACACCCACACCGAATCGCGAGGCACCAGGTGATGCCGGGAAGCGCCAGGCTGGGACCTGCGCTCCGGAGCGGGCCGGAGCCGAGAGAGGCCGCCGGCCAGCCGGGCAGGGGGAGCCCGCGGCCCGCCGCTGCCCGCGCGGCGCCTACAGAGGTCACTCTTCCATGCGGAATGCGCGCGCCGCCTCGCCCCTCCCCCAGGCGGCCTGCCCTGCGCCGCTCCTCACTTTCACTGAGCGGCTCTCTTTGGGGGCTGTTTTTTTTTTTTTTTCTCTTGAGGATTTAATATTTCTATTTAAATCTAGTTGAAAGAAATTCTCCCATTAAGCGTTCAGCTCAGTATATGTATCTTTGCATTATTATTAACTATTAGTTTGTGTGTACCCGGCAGGAGGATTAGAAATACCAATTTGGGGAGAAAAAAGGTAGAACAATAATGATTTCAACCTGAGGCATGGGCATTAATATCTTCTTTTTGGAATATGTGTGTGTGTGTGGGGGGGGTGACTGCTATTTACTCACATCCTGATGATTTAAGATTAGTCTGTTTTTCCAAGCGGTGGCCAGATTTAGAGACCTGCTAAGGCCTTGCATTTTCCCCAGAAGCCTGCCTCCCTGCACTGCTACCCTTGCTCTTGGTGTGATTGCTCCTGTCCTCAACACTAGAATTTCTTTTAAAATTCTCATGATAATGGTTTGCCTGGAGGACTGGATAATCTGTTCCTGGAAAAAGATCTGCTTCGCAAATGCATGCAGCTGAATGCTAGCTTGAGAGATCAGAAATATTTCTTCCTGGGGGAATGATATGAAAGAGCCTTTTCTAAGTTTGAGAATGAATAAAAAAAATCCCTGGTGCCAAGAGGTTGCTTTACTTGGGGAAGTTGCATATTTATTTCCAGGGAAAAGTTTCAGTCAGTAAATATGACTTGGCAGAAAGGTAATCAAATGCATTGAAGTTTCACGTTAGTTCCAATGAACTGTGGAACAATTCATTTGTGATGAAGCAGCCATCAGTAATTAGATTTGTTTCATTCGGAGGTCAGCTTTTTTAGCAGGTGGTCGACATAGGGAGCATGCAGCAGCTGTTTGGTTACGGGGTCCAGAAAGTCCTTTGTGAATTCAGCGTCTCCATAACTACTTTAATCACATTGTCTGCTGCTCCCATCCGGGCAAGTGTATGTGATAATCTAAAGAAGTTCTGTGTACTGAAATATTAGTGGCTGCCCAGTTGGGTTATTTGCATTGTTATTGCATAGGTTCTGGTAGAGTTGGGCTGGTTGTAGCCATTTTGGCTTTTTAGGTGGTTTTTTTTTTTTTTTCTTTTTTTATTCAGCAAAGAACAGCAATGCCTAGCTTCCATTTTTAATTAACATTTCAGTAGAACATTCTTTTTCCAAGTGTGATATTTATGCCAAAATAAAATGATTGCCTATTTTTTAAAAAATACTAGTTTTACTTTAGAGTGAGCAAATCTTTATAGGTATGGTATTGTGGAATGAATTACACTGAGTTTGTTGAAAATTTTAATCCAGTATTAATTTCTTATGTCTAGGGTTGCTATTTCATCTGCATCACATACCAGTTAGTTAACAAAGCGTTTTGTTTTTCCCATGTAATTTTTTCCCCTGCATAATACAGAATTCCTGATATTGATTGACTTGATACAAAAGAATGGCTGGATAATATCCAGATAAAGTATAATACATGGGCTTTACCACAGTCAGGCCCTGAATAAATACGGACCTGTCAGAGATTGATAAAATAAACTACAATGGATAGTGCTGTTTAAACACTCCATTCAATAACATATATAAGCCAGCCAGCCTTCCATTGTGTCTGAAATTCTTATTTTTGTAGGTAAACAAATGCACATTCAGCACTGATTGAATAGCCCCTTGAACTATGCTCCACAGTTTGCGTTTGGGTTAATCTTGTCGGTTTTAATATAGAGAGAAAAAAGCTCAAAGCACCAGGGGTGGGATTGTTAGTGCTTTCACATCCACATTCCTCACATTTTGTCAGGATGATAAACTGTAGGTAATGGACTGTCGTTGTTCTACAGGACAACTGAGCCAGGCAGAGCACAAAGACAGAGCTACAGCGATATCTCACAACGTGCTTGGGAGTCTTCTTTTCAGATGAGAATTTATTTGGGAATCTCGTGTCTAGGGACTGCACTTCTTAACCTCAGCAATTACAAGTTAGAGCCCTAGAAACAGGAGCTGGAGGTTAAGATGATTTGTTAAGCACTTGGTTCTAAATCTTTCACAAAGCATAGCTGTTGACACTTGTCCTTCCGATGCAAAGAAATGCAAATGACTCCAACGTTTCTAAACGCTTCGGACTTTTAAGCTGTAGTATGTGGACAGGTGAATTAGCCATTGGCCGGAGACCAGCTAAAAAGTACTAGTTGGAATGGTTTTTCCATACAGAGTCAACTGAAGAACAATTGGGATATTTATTATCATAAAGCCGCTTATCTGTAAACTTACTGAAGTGAATCCTTTGGTGGATCGGCGAGATGATTATCTTCAGTCGGACATTGCAACTGGCGCAACTAGATCCTTGCTATCTTGTCTTCCATTGCACATCTTTCAGGTAGCTCCCAGGAGCTTCAGTGTCACACCTAACTTCGAGCGACACGTTGCAGAGTATGTTCACCTAGTGGGAAACTATTTGAGACCCCAGCATGACTGCAGCGGTGCGTCATAGGAATGGGAGTGGCAGGGAAGACGAAATACAGATTGTAGACCCTAATAAAAAAAAAATTTTTTTACGAAAGATATTTCTTTTAAGATTTCATGAAAACATTATTCTTAAAATATTTAATTGTAAATTAGACAAAAAAGAAGTGCTCTTCTAAGAAAAATGATGAAAATGGTCCTCATATCTGCCTTATGTCTGCCTGCCTTTGCTGCTGACATAAAGAACCTGTTTTTCAGGTCACTTATTATACATCTACATAGATTTGCGTATGAGCTCACCCTTTGTGTAGCAGAGTGGAGCCTTAAAGAGGAGTGTTCAACTGTTTAAAATATTTTGATTAAAATATGCAGAACCCATAGAACTATAAGCTTCTAGTCAGGAATTAGCTCTTTCAGGGAAGAACCCCCCCTTTAAGGGGAGAATTAGAATGGGGCTGGGGGAGGAATATAAGAACAGCAAAGAAGGAAGGATAGCAAATGGGACATGTTCCGAACAGCTTGGAAAAACTCCTGTGGCTTCATTGTCTCTGTAAAGCCAAAGAATACAAAGACATAAGCAATTCAGCCCTTCTCCCATGATGGAAGATGTAAACCGTTGACATGCCTCCCCTGTTTAACTTGTTTAATTCTCATTTTAAATTCAGCACTATACTAGCCGTGTGAACTCTGAAGGTTTCTTTAGTAATCCATTTTGTAGTTCCGAATCAAAAACAAAGTGAAAGGGTCTGACACAATTTGCTTTTATTTTTAGGCAAATCAACCCTGGTCATAGTTAATAAGGGGATTACAACCCAGACTAGGTCTTTACAGATGTGATGTA